TGTATGCTAAGCAAGCATTCTCCAACCTGTTTTGTTGTTGTTGTTGTTGTTGTTGTTGTTTTGTTTTGTTTGTCTTTTTGAGACAGGGTCTCTTTGTAGCCCCAGCTGGTCTGAAACTCACTATGTAGACCAGGCTGGCCTTGAACTCACAGAGATCTGCCTGCCTCTGCCTCCCAAGTGCTGGGACTATAGGTGTGTGCCACCATGCCCTGCTCCAACCTCAGATTTTTATGTTTTAATTAGAAAAGACAGTAAAGGCAGAGAGGCAGTAGGTTTACAAATGACATGTGATGTGCCTGCTTGGACATGCCAGCTTTGGCTTTCTCCACAGTCCCAGGTGATCAGCAGGAGGTAGTGACTCACCACAAGCCATCCTTGGCTGAAGGACAGTCCTTTCTACCATGGGGGAATTGCCACAGCCATTTCAGTTCTGTTTTCATATTTTCTCTTGCAGTGCCCAAGACAAAGATTTTAGCCACAGGAGGGGCATCTCACAATAGAGACATATTACAGGTAAGTGCTGGCGGTGGTCCTGCATCTCACAGCAGAGACATTTTATAGGTCAGTGCTGGCAGTGGCCCTGCATCATGACTTCTTCCCATCCATTGCATATAGGAGTTAGAGATTCATCAGAAAGGACTGCCTTCCTTCCTTCCCACAGGACCTCCCGGAACTTCCTGGCTCTCACTCTCCAGGAAGCCAGCTCTATGATGTTAGAGCTCCCGCCAGGCAGCCTTTGTCTCCCACTCAGGAATTCCACTGTTATGTACGGTGCACACTCCGCTAGCAGCACAGATGGCCTCTGGAGTCACATGGACAGTGCCTTCCCCATTACAAACTTAACATCCACCATAGTGTTCCTGGCCCTCAGGGTGTCTCCTTCCTGGTTAACTCTGTGTCTCCAACCATTCCTCTTTTGTGTGTGTGTGTGTGTGTGTGTGTGTGTGCGCGCGTGTGTGCGCGTGCACGTGTGTATGTGCATGTGGAGGGCAGAAGTTGATGTTGAGTGTCTTCCTTAGTTGTACTCTGCCTTATATTTCAGGACAGGGTCTCTTACTGAATCCAGGGTTTGCAGACTCAGCTGGACAGGCAGGCCAGCAAGCTCTAGGGATTTGCTTCCCCAGAACTGGGATTACAGGCACATGGTGCCATATCGACTTTTTTTTTTTCTTTTTGTCTTTTTGAGACAGGGTCTCCCTGTAGCCCCAGCTGGCCTGGAACTCACTATGCAGACCAGGATGGCCTTGAACTCACAGAGATCTGCCTGCTTCTGTCTCCTGAGTGCTGGGACTGAAGGCTTGCGCCACCACGCCTGGCCATGTTGACTTTTTTAACTGGGTTCTAGGAGTTCAGAATCAGGTCCTCATGCTTGCATGGCAAGCACTTTACTGACTGAGCCATCACCCCAGCCATCCAACAATTCATCTTGTGACACAGTTGCTAGGCTCTGTCCTTCCTTTATCTAACTGTGTATGACAGGAAGTGAAATTAACCTGCAGATTCATCAGAAGGGCAGAAGTTGATATCCCACACTCATGCTATCACATCATGGAGCCATTGGCTACTCAGGGTGCCCCTGTGCACTTTGGGGTAGAGCCTGTGCTACCTTAGATGTTTGAGTAACTGCATATGCTGTTGAGTTTGGATATACTTGTCCTAGGTAATATTCTCTAGGAATGGAGCCTGAAGTAGGAATTCTTCAATTTGTGGTTGTTTAGAGTATTCCCAAGGAGGAAAAGAGGGGGTACTTAGGACAAGGCAGGGGAGGAAGGATAGGCCAGGATGTAATGCTGACTGAAGTCTGCTTCAACCCTGTCTCTTGGGGGACTGAGGTGCCTGACATAACCAAAGCTGGTTCTGCCTTGTTGCCCTGGGGAGGGGTACGAGCAACTCTGAGGTTGGCCTCTGTTCAGCCAAGGTCAGGTCTCGTGAACACGAGTACTGAGAGCTGTTAGCCATCAGTGCTCTCAGCAGCTAAGCAAGAGGTACACATTGTCCAGTGAAGGGGGTCCTGGCTGGGCATCAGTGGCATGAAGTACAGTATTTCTGATCAGCTAAGAATCTCCCCTTCCTGTCCCACTGTTCCAGAAGTCTTTTCTTTTTTAAGTTAAAAAAAAAAATTGCCAGGGCCTCCCTAGTTCTTGCCTGCCTGGAAGTCATGTGAACCAGGCTGGCCTTGATCTCACAGAGGCCTGCCTGCCTGTGCCTCCTGAGGGCTGGGGTTAAGGCAAATACCACCACACCTGCCATAAATTTTTTATTTTATGTGTATTAGCATTTTGCCTCCATGTAAGTACACCCGTGCATGCAGTGCCCATGGAGGTCAGAAGAGGCCTCAGATTCGCTAGAACTGGGGTTACAGATGGTGTTAGCTGCCATGTGGGTGCTGGGAATCAAACCCAGGTCTTCTGCAAGAGGAGCCAGTGCTCTTAACCACTGAGCTGTCTCTCCAGCCCCCCAGAAGTCTTTTCCATGTAAACTCTTATAGCTACAAGTCTCCCATTCTAAATGTATGCTGTGTATGATTTTTTTTTTTTTTTTTGGTCATGGTGGTGGTGTTTTGATTTTTGGATAGAAATGGAAAGCTTCATCATCTCCCCACCTTCAAAACAAACCCTTGCTAGTTTGAGTTTGTTAATTTTATTCTGATATTTAGGTGTTCCCAGCACTATATAAGTGTGGCATTTGGTAAGCATACCTCCTGAATCTTCTTCCATGTCTCTGATAAATGGTTAATGGATAGAGATGTAGCTCAGTGATTTGGCACTTACCTAGCATACTTGAGGTCATGGGTTCAATTCCTAGCACTGCAAAGAAGTAAATAAATAAATAAATAAGTGGTTAGAAAGTACAGGATAGGGCTAGGGAGGTGGCTCAGTTGGTAAAGTGCTTTCCATGCAGACATGAGGACCTGAGTTCAAATCCCAAGCACCCATGTAAAAAGCTGGGCATGGTGGTATGCACCTGTAATCCAGCCCTTGGGTGGTAGAGACAAGAGGATTCCTGGGGCTGCTGGCCACCTGGCTGCAAGCCAAATGAGAGACCTGGTCTCCAGAGAGTACAGTGGAAAAGTGATTTAGAAAGATACCTAACCTTGAACTCTGACCTCCACATGTACCCACACACATGCACACTTCCCCCCATGCACATGCACACAGACACAAAATTATAGGGCATTTTACATTACATTACATTGCCAATTCTAGCACTCAGGAGACTGAAACAGGAAGAGCATAAGTTTGAGGTCAACCTGGGTTATGTATATGAGCTACATGGGGAGACGTCTTTAAGAAAAACAACAAAAAGTACAGGAACAGTCTGAAGACTGTAGCCCTTCCCTGGGGACTTCCTCCAGGCCATCCTGCCTGTCACCAGCACAGCATGTTGTACTTCTAAGGTGGCAGACGAGGAAGGGGAGCAGAGCCTGGAAAATTTAAAATGATCTCTCTGAGCAATGACTCACCCAGTACAACCTGTGTCCCTCCCAGGTACTTGCAGATGTGTTTGGTGCCCCAGTGTATGTCATAGACACTGCCAATTCAGCCTGCGTGGGCTCTGCATACCGAGCTTTTCATGGTAGGTCGATGGATGGAGCATATATATCTTTGGAAGTGGATGGGAACCACTGGGCTGGGGAAGGCTCTAGAATGGGGAGAGAATGGTTTCCCATAGTGTCTTGAAAGCGTTAGCCTCATTCTCCCTCCTGGCAGGCAGGAATGAACCTCTACCCTTTGTCTTGTATTCTCAGAGTGGGGAAGGGGAGGCCGGCTCCAGACTGAATGAAACCTGGTCAGAGACAATCTCTGCAGAGGGACACTGGAAAAGACCGCAGGGTGTGCTTAAGGACAGCATGAGTGTGGGTCTGGACAGGAGATGAAGGCAGAGATGAAGATGTGGATAAAGTCCAGAGCCATGTTTTCAGCAATAGCCTGACACAATGACAAAGGTGGCAGAGCAGGCAGTCCAGAACCTTGGACAGCTCCCTGGAAGCTCAGTGGCTCTGTGCCTGGCACCCATCAACTTCACGCACTGTAGGAAGCACCCTTGGCCTCCTCATTTAAACTGCTTTGCCCTGTCTTGTGTCTGCTAGGGAGCTCCTGGCTGTCATGTACCTCAGAGGCTCCATCCCTTCCCTTTAAGGGTACATTCTTTGCCTGGTTACTTTTCACTTCTCAACACACCTGCTTAAACTTGATTTTTCTTTCAACATTGAACATGAATGCAAGATGTACACTTCTCTTACTAACCTATTTTATCCTCCACCCTCTCTCTGCATTATCTCATGAAACCTCAGGCAAAAGATCACTGGGGAATAAGATCACTGGAGAATTTATTTCCAAATGATTACTGCCCTGCTGCCTGCCCCACCCCCTCATACTGGGGATTGGACCCAGGGCCTCGTTAGGCAAACTCTGTACCACTGAGCTACATTCCCAGCCTCTTTTTTTAAAAATCATTTTATTGTAATGAAATCACAATTTAAAACATGACACAGCTAGATTTTTGTAGCCACTCAAACACTTGCCCAGTCCCAAATTCTGCATCTCAGTGAACTTCTGTAGAGTTAGAGGCCATTTTGAAGCTGTAGAGATTTGTTTGAGTTTTACACTTTCACTATCAACTACATTTTTATGGACTTTTCTACCACAAAAAAAGAAAAAAATTATGACAATTGAAAGTAGAAAAATAATTAGCTATAAATATCCTCTTTCAAGACTCATGTGCCCTTTTGCCTACATTTTTCATCCTCATCCCTCATCACCTAATTACTCTCTTGGTCTCCTTTCTAAGTGTTATACTGTACCCACACATACAGCTGCTCTCTCGCTCTCGCTCTTGCTCTTTCTCTCTCTCATCTCTACTGTTTATTTTGAGACAAGGTCTCACTAAGTTGTTTAAGTTGATTTTGAACTTGCTCTGTAGTTCAGGTAGGTCTTGAACTTACAGTCTTCCAATACATGTAACAAAAGTCACTCCCGTTTTAAATGATTTTTATCAAATTTGCTGAGTTGGCAGGGACTTTTGGTAAATTTTCTGAGTTGTACAACCGTCACCATAATCCAGTTTTGAAATATTTTTGGTTTTGTTCTTGTTCGGGATCTGGGGATGGAAGCCTGGGTCTTCTTCCTGCTAAGCAGGCACCCTGACACGGAGCTGCATTCCCACATTATGGCTGAACACCATTTTATCATCTTAGCAAGTTCTGTCAGACAAGTCACAGAGAACCATTTGTTTACAATGTGCATGGATGTGAAGTAACCTTTCCCCTCTAGGCCTTGCAGGAGGGACAGATGTGGCCTTTTCGGAGGCCATGAAGTTGGCCCCAGATCCCAGCCTGGCTGCCACCCCCAGCCCAGGAGCTTCCCAGGTAAGAAGCATTGGATCTTGTCTTAGCATTCACATTGTGAAAACAGGCCAGGGTCTTTTTCTTTTTTCTTTTTTCTTAAAAGGTAAGCTTTTTTGTCAGGAATGGTGGTGCACAACTTTAATCTCAGCACTCTGGAGGTAGAAGCAGGCCAATCTCTGAGTTCCAGGCCAGTCTGGTCTATATAGTGAGTTCCAGTCCAACCAGGGCTACACAGTGAGACCTTGTATCCAAAAAACAAAAGAAAAACAAAAGGTAAGTTTTTATTCGTTCATCATCTACATTAAACCTGAAGTACTCAACTAGGGGAAATCCTACCTTTTTTTTTGTAGTACTTGAGATTGAGCCTATGGTCTCGCCTATGCTAGGCAAGCACTCTACTACTGAGCTAAATCTCCAGCATACACTATTTGTTTGTTTATTTATTTTTGTCTTTTTGAGACAGGGTCTCCCTGTAGCCCCAGCTGTCCTGGAACTCAGTGTGTAGACCAGGCTGGCTTTGAACTCACAGAGATCTTGCCTACCTCTGCCTCCCAAGTGCTGGGATTAAAGGCATGTGCCACCATGCCTGGCATTATTTATTTTTAATTGTTTTAAAAAAGTTTTTTATGTGTATGCATGTATTGCCTGCATGTGTGTTAGTGCACCCATGTCATGGAATGCTCATGGAGGTCAGAAGAAGGTGTGAGATTCCCCTGGAACTGGAGTTACAGACAGTTGTTAGCTGCCATGTAGGTGCTGGGAATCAAACCTGGGTCCTCTGCAAGAGCAGCCAGTCCCCACTTTTAAAATTTATCAAGAAAAATGGTACAAAACAAGTCAGGTTGTTAGCTGGAACTTCCTTGTATTAATCTCTTTATTTTTATTTATTCTGTGTGTGTGTGTGTGTGTGTGTGTGTGTGTGTGTGTGTGTGTTCATGTCATGACCAGCATGTGGAGGTCAGAGTACAAGTTGCAGAACTCTGTTCCTTCCTTCTACCATGTGGATCCCAGGATTGAACTCAGGTTGTGGCAGTGAGTAAGTGCTCTCCCTGCTGAGCCATCTCACTGGCCCAGGTACTGTTGCTCTCTTTAACAGGAATCTGAAGGTAGTGTTGCTGTAATGGTTCAGGGTCCTAGGTCACGGTCACTGCAGTTCCCCAACTCACCAGTGGACAAGGGGACCCTAATGTGAGCCACATAAGCATATAAATTTCCTGGTAGGCTCAATTTTCAAGAGTAAAGAAAAATAAACAGAAATAAAATACATTAATTTTGATAAAAGATTTTGTTTAGGACCTGGAGAGATGGCTCAGTGGTTAAGAGCACTGGCTGCTATTGCAGAGGACCTAGGTTTGGTTCCCAGCACCCACAAGGCAGCTAACAACTATCTGTAACTCCAGTTCCAAGGAATCTGATGCCCTCTTCTGACCTCCACAGGTATTATGTGCATATGGTACACTTACATACATGCAAACAAAATACTCATACACATAAAATAAAAACAAATCAGAAATTTTAAAATTTCATTTAGTCGGGTGTTGTGGTACATGCCTTTAATCCCAGCACTCCGGAGGCAGAGACAGGCAGATCTCTGTGAGTTAAAGGCCAGCCTGGTCTACATAGTGACTTCCAGGACAGCTGGGGCTACAGGGAGACCCTGTCTCAAAAAGACCAAAAAAAAAAAAAAATTTCATTTAACCCAGTATACCCAAAATGTGATAATTTTAACCTGTAACTGGTTCAAAGATATACTGATGTGATTCTTCACATTGTTTATGCATGAAGCTTTTGAAATTTGATATGCATTTTATTTTATATGTATGAGTGTTTGCATGTTTGTATGTGTACATGGTATGCAATGCCTGCAAAGGGCAGAAGAGGGGATTGGATCCCCTGGAACTGGAGTTACTAATAGTTGTTAGTGGCCATGTGGGTGCTGGGAATCAAACCTGGGTCCTCTGCAAGAGTAGCCAATGCTCTTAACTACTGAGCCATCTCTCCAGCCCCTTATTTTGTTTTTTTGAGATAGGGTCTTATATAGACAAGCCTGTTCTGGAATTCACTGTACAACTGAGACTGACCTTGAACTCCTGACCTTCTTGCCTAACCTCCCAAGTGTGGGATTATAGACATGCACTACCATACTCAGTTTTAAATAGTGCCAGGTATGGAATCCAATGTTTCATGTGCGTTAGGCAAGCACTCTACCAACCGACTCACATTCCCCAGCCCTTGGTGCATGTTTTGTGCCTTTGTTTGTAGGCATGTTTCAAGTTCACAGAGGCACATGTGGCTGTGGCTGCTGTTTGGACAGTGCAGCCCATGTGTTCTCTATGTGGCTGTCACAGATGTCTGCACTGGTTCTGAACATCATCCTGCCACACAGCTGGAGTTATCAGAGGATATTAGAAATAATGACTTCAGTCTAACAGTGACCAAAATACCTGAGTGAACAACTTAAAGGAGGATTTTTTTTCTGGCTCATCATTTCACAGAGTTTTGTGTAGCCCAGCATGGCAAGGAGGAGTGCCAGAGAAGCTCACATCATGGCAGATGGGAAGCAGAGGGTAACACAATACAGGAATTGGCAAGGGTTGGGTATGATGTACGTGCCTGTAATCCCAGCACTTGGGAGGCTGAAGCAGAAGGATTGCTGCAAGTTCAGAGGCTCCTCTGAGGTAGTGAGACCCTAATCTCAAAACACAACAAAACAAAAAAAGGAACAATAGATCAGACCTCGCAGAATCTAATCATTCCCAGAAACCCACCAGTTGGAACCAAGCCTCCAATACAGAAGCCCCTGGGGGACGTTCAGTATTTAAACCAGAACAGTAACTGTGCTGTAATGTGGAGAGGAAGGGAGACCTTATCCTGGACAGCTGTGTGAACTGCTGTATGGGTTACCCCCTTGTCTCCCATTGAAGAAGACCCCAGGCAGAGGTCTCCTCATCCACCTGTTGGAGTGCCACAGTGTGCCTGTGGCAGTCTTATGACTCTAAATGTTGAGTGGTATCTAAGAAGATCCCTAGTGGGCTTGGGGCCCTGCATTTAGGGTACTTTCCTTTGGAGAGCTTCACAGAAGTAAAATAACTGGGTCATAGCTATGGTCCTCAATATACATAAAATTGCATGGATCTCCAAAAGGGTTGTGCCACCAACCTTCACCAGTTGCACATTGAAAGCCAACCCCTGAGTCTCAGCACCAGAATTTGTTTTAAACTTTTGTAGGTTTGATAACAAAAAATCATTTCTTGTCATGATTTACAGGGTTTGTTTGTTGTTCTTTTAGCTGGGTCTTACTATGTGTAGCTTTGGTTGGCCTAGAGCTTGCTATGTAGACTGGGCTAGCCTCAAACTCAGAGACATCTGCCTGCTTCTGCTTTCCAAGTGCTGGGATTAAATGAGTATGCCACCACACCCAGTGGAATTATAAAATTCCAAGTTGCAACCAGACGTCAGAGGCACCACCTCTCCTTCATAATAAACTGCTCTTTCTGCCCCTCCAGGTCTATGAGGCCCTTCTTCCCCGCTATGCTGAACTTGAGCAGAGAATCTTGTCTCAGTCTGGGAGGGCTCTGGAGTGAATTCGGCAGGCCCACCTACCCAGTGATCCCCACCTGCCCAGACTCCCTGCCGGCATCTACCCTCTTGCCTGCCCTGAGCTGCTCTGTCTTCTGTGCTGGCTCATCGGAGTACTTCTGTACTGCTCAGGACCATCCTGAAGCTGGCCATGACTCCCTGAAGATACACTGGCTCTGTGTCCCAGGGTGGGAGAACATCTCTCCCTCCCTGTCTTTTATTCCAGGAGGCAGGAAAACACAGAAAAACTAGGAAGGAAAACTAGGGTATGGCCACCAAAGATTATGACTTTCCCCGCCTCTCAAAGGCAGAAAGCTATCTTAGGTCCAAAATCAGCAGATGAGGGGAGACAAAGCCCTCTCCTGGCCTCCTCCCTCTCTGAGCAGTACTCCATAATCTGTGATCCTCAGCCACTCCACCCCATACCTTGACTCCCCCATTCTATCCTCTCCAACAACCCAGACTGCATAGTCACTTCTCTTCCTGATGAGCATTCCAGCTGTTTCTGCCCTCCTGTTTTCTGAGGTGCCCTCCCAGCATCCTCTCCTATCTGCCCATCCTTTCCCATCCTTCATTGGCTCACCCTTCTCTCCTCAAAGCACCTGCCCTTTCTCACCTCTTGTGCCCTCTTCCCTCCCCACACCTGCCTGGTATAACTCATCACTTCTCACCCAAGACGATTCTTGTGGGCCTGGTAGATACCTTTCTTGTGCCCTCCCCTGGCTCTGTCCATAAGTTGCTTGATTGGGGGCTCACCAGGTCACCTGGCTGGACCATCTCCCAGGCTGTACACTTTAGCGTCCTCTTCTGTCTTGTGTTGACAAAACTGTGTCATTTCTCTGAGAAATTTCCAAATTCTGGATTTCCTTTTCTGGAGTCAGGATCTCAAGTGGCCTATGCTAGCCTCAGATTTGCTTTAGAGCTGAGGTTGACCTTGAACTTCTGATCTTCCTGCCTCTACCTCCTGAGTGCTGCAATTACAGGCATGTGTCATTACACCTTGTTTATGCAGTGCTGGGGATCAAACCCTGATCCTCATGAACTCCAGGCAAACTACCAACTGAGCCACATCCCTAGCCTGGTTTTTTTTTTTTTTTTTTTTTTTGGAGTACTTTATGACTCTCACTTCCACTTACCTTCCTATATTTCTATAGATGGTAAGTCCTTCGTCCATCCTCTCATACTTCTCTATTCCCTGCTCAGACATTTGCAAAAGGTCTTCTGTGGCCTTATTCCTACAACATTCTCCTGATTTTTCTTCTGCCATAAACCTTCGCTAAACTGTGGACTCCATTTAAAACCTGAAGCACTTGTGATTCTCGCCCAGAGTGGAGAGATGCTGCAGGCAGGTCTGAGACCTGGTGGACAAGAGCAGTGACTGATGGGAAGTCAAAAGGAAGGGACTGAGGCAGTCAGAGCATCACATCTGCTAGACATGAGTGACCCTGTAAGGGAATGGTGTCCCATCAAGGCGTGGTGTGTGGAAGGGAAAGAGCAGGCAGCAGAAGATAGCAGCCCATCAGCTGCCACAGCTAATCCAAAATGCAGAAGGAAGCAGGCACTTCAACATTACATGGTAAAGAAATTTTACATCACTGACGAACAGCAAAGGGCTTTCTTTGGACCTTGAAACAGTAAACTGTAACGCAACATTCCAACATGAGTTTTATAATAAACGATTGTGGAGGTAAAAGAACACCACACATGACAGAGTCAAACCAAAAGGAGAATGCAGCAAGCATGTGTGAAGAGACCAAATTTGAGAGAGAATTTTAGGAAATAACATCACAACAGACTCAAAGACCAGGTTAGGACATAGCCGAGAGGAAGTGGGTATGGATGGAAGTACGGGGGCACCAGAAAGAAGGAACGAGGATATAGGCAAAGGGAAAGACAACGGACAAGTCAGTGGAGCCGTATTAATATTTTAAATGACCCAAATAAACTTATGAAAACAAAACACTTGAGTAGTATTTCTCTAACTTGCCTGCTTGCTCCCTTCCCCCCATGTTAGCAGTCCTGGGGCTTGAACCTGTGACTTGGTACATGCTGGGCAAGCACTCTATCACTAGGTTTGCATTCCCAGCTCCTGAAACTGTATCTTGAAATGTCTACCTTGTTACTTGGGAAATTGACCCAATTCTAAGATGTGTTGAAGGTGAAGGGAAAGCTACCAAGGCTTCTAGACCAAAAGATGTGTTTTCTCTTACAAAGGAAAGATCAGGTTTGTGTCACACTTCTCAGCAAAATGAGATAGCAACCGAGCAATATTTTCAAGAAACTTTTAAAAAGCATAAGGGTGAGTGAGATGGCTGAGCTGGTAAAGGCACTTTCCACCAAGCCTGACGACCTGAGTTCAATCTTCAGACACCACATGGTAGAAGGAGAGTGCCTGTTCCTAGCAGTTGTCCTCTGACCGTGTGTGTGCTGTGGCATATGCATGCCCCCCCCAATCAATGAACAACAACAAAAACGTGTTACCAGTCTATACCTAGCTAAGCTGTCCTTTAAGTTTCAAGGGTATAAACAAACGTTTTAGTCATTCAAGAGCTAAGGTTTCCTCACAGCCTCTTCCTTAGGATTCTACTAAAATACAGTTGTCCTAGTAGGAGATGATGGGGAACCTGAGCAAAAGGACGAGGCGTGGTAACGTGGATGCATAATGTCAAATGGAACATGCCCAGACAAATCAAGAACTAGAAAAGTAAGAGGGGACATGTTTTCGTTTGCTCTCTGTTGCTGTGATTGACACTATGATCAAAAGCAACTTAGGGGAAGAGCTGGTTTATTTAACTTACACTTCAGGTCATGGTCCATCATTGAGGGAAGTCAGGGCAGAAACCATAGAGCAATGTGACTTGCTGGCTCACAGGCTTATATTCCACTAGCTTTCTGTTTTTTTCCTTTTTGTTTTGAGACAGGGTTTCACTATGTAGATCAGGCTGGCCTGAAACTCAGATTCACCTGCCTCTGCCTCCTGAGTGCCAAGATTAAAGGTGTGCACCACCACACTAGCTTTCTTATATGGCCCAGATCCACCTGCCTAGGGAATGGTGCCACTCACAGTGGGCTGGGCCTTCCTTTATCAATCATCAGTCAAGACAGTCTGTCACAGATAGGGTCACAAGCCAATCTGGTGTGGATAATTTCTCAATTCTGACTGTCAGATGACTCTAGGCTGTGTCAAACTGAGAGTTAAAGCTAACAGGCACAGGAGAAGAGGAAAGGAAACTACAATGACCTTGTTGCACATGCAATATTGACAGGTCAAAATTATTTAAAATTGCAAATCAAATAGTTGATGTTTAAATAAGAGAAAAGGGGAACTAAGCAATAAAAGCATTCTGTACTACTAAAGAATAGCATTATAAACAATATAATCACTACAATAAAATGCAAATCTCGGAGCCAGTGAGATGGCTCATCAGGGTAAAGGTATTTGCTGACAACCTGAGTTTAATCCTCAAACACCATATAGTAGGAGAGCTAACATTCACAACTTGCCCTCTAACCCCCTCATACATGCTACGGCACAGACACGCACCCCTATACACAGTGCACACACACACAAACACAAGTTAAAAAATCTCAGCTGGGCGTGGTGGTTCACACCTTTAATTCCAGCACTCAGGGAGGCAGAGGCAGGCGGATCTCTGTGAGTTCAAGGCCAGCCTGGTCTACATAGGGAGTTCAGGCCAGCTGGGGCTAAATGGAGGCCCTGTCTCAAAAAGACCAAAAAAAACCCCCAAATCTTCAGTGTCCAAAGAAACAATAAAGGTAATGAATCACATAATAAAAACTGCATAGTAAGTGCAGCATCATACAGTAAACGAAAGTCCCAGTGTGAGTCAAATCAGCACATGTGAGACTTCCATCTATTAAAAGAAAAAGAATTTCCAGTGTCTTACAAATGAACATGGAATTGTCTTGTTTACAAGAGACATCTAAAATTAGTGGTTCACAAAGACTAAAAAGTAGAGTGGGGAGCAATGTTCCAGACAAACAGAAACCATGAAAAGCAGATTACAATATCCATTCTCGTAGGGCAGAGTTCTTGAGAAATGATAGAGCAGGGCACCATAATGCTAAAGGCCATGACTCACGACAGCGATATACCAATTATGAACACTACAGTCTCAACTATTTGCTTTGTCAACTTGAAATGACATTCTTTGAATCCTGTTGCTTGTTCCACAGAGTCCTGTGTAGTTTTCTTTCTTCGTTTATTAGTTGGGTCTGGCCTGCCAAAGCACATGACATTTGTATAACAACAACAGGGAAAAACAGAAAGCTGAAAATAACTGAGAAATATACCACTGTCTTATTCGGGAGAGACAACCAGGTAGAAAGAATTTCTACAAATCAGATCTCTCTCTCTAAAAAAATACATATATATATATATAATTTCTCTTTCTCGCTCTCTCTGTGTAGACATGTGGAGGTCAGGACAATGTTGGATGTTGTACTTTTTGTTTGACACAGGTCTGAAATTATGCTGAGTAGGCTATATTAGCTGGCTGCGGGGCTTCCGGGGATCCACCTGTCTCCACCTCCCATCTTGCTGTCCCTGGGATTTCAAGCACATGCCACCATACCTGGCTTTTCCCCTGAGTTCTGGGGATCAAATTCAAATCCTCATGTATACAAGGCAAACGCTTTACCAGTTGAGCCAACTTCCCAGCTCAGACGTCACACACTGAAAACAGAAAATAAACCTATTTTCACACAAAAAAAATTGACCATTGAGGACCAGTGAGATGGCTGATCAGGTAAAGTTACCTACTATAAAGCCTGACAACCTGAGTTCAATCCCTAGCCCACATGATAGAAGGAGAGAACTGACTCCCAAAAGTTGTCCTCTCACTGCCACTCTGCACTGCCATATGGTGTGCATGAGCACACACATGCAGATGTGCACATGCACACAAACAAATGTTTAAAAATGACTATTGGGGCTGGAGAGATGGCTCAGCAGTTAAGAACCCCAGCTGTTCTTGCAGAAGACCCGGGTTTGAATCCCAGCACCCACATGGCAGCTAACAACTGTCTGTAACTCCAGTCCAACAGCCTCTTCTGTCCTCTGCGGGCATTGCATGACATGGGTGCACTTACCTACATGCAAGCAATACACATATACTCAAAAATAATAAATAAAAAATAAATAAAAATTAAAAATGACTATTTACAAAAATGGTTTCTACAAAACAGAATAATGTAACTTTTAATCACAACACAATAAAACTAGAATAAAACTTTTTAAGTTTTTAAAATTTATTTTAGTTTATGTGTATCAGTGTATTGCCTGTATATATGTCTGTATGTATATGCAGTGCCCAAGAGGTCAGAAGAGGGCACCAGATCCCCTGAACTGGAGTTATGGATGGTCATTAGCCACCATGTGGGTGCTGGGAACTGAACCTGGGTCCTCTGTAAGAGCAGTCAGTGCTCTTAACTGCTGAGTCATCTCTCCAGCTCCCTTAAAATTTATTTTTTATGTGCATTAGTGTTTTCCATACATGTATGTTGGTGCACCACATGAGTGCAATGCCTGCAGAGGTCAAAAGAGGGCATCGGATCCCCTGGATCTGGAGTTACGGATGGTTATTAGCCACCATTGTGGGGGCTGAGAACCAAACTTGGGTCCTCTGCAAGAGCAGTACATGTTCTTAATTGCTGAGCCATCTCACTAACCCTGAGTATAAAACGTTCTAAAAAGTTTTATGTGAAGGAAAACATCCTACTAAACTCCTAGGATACAAGAAATATAAATAAAAAATCAGAACACCCCCAAAATGTGATTGATAATTAAGTGTACAGTGCATAATTAAAGCAGTAAGTAAAATATGGCTAGCTTATAAAACTGGAACATGGATAAAAATGAAAGAATAGAAGCAGAAAAATGAAAGGATAAAAGTAAAATGAATTAAATCTGCATGTGGTGGCCACACCTGAAACCTCAGCCCTTGGAAGGTGGAGGTAGGAGGATCAGGAGTTCAGAGACAGCCTCAGCTACATAGTGAGTTTGAGGTCAGCCTGGGGTGCATGAGACCCTGTCTCAAAAACAAAAAATAAAATAATTAATATTCAATTTAAAAAGGATAAAAAGTATAACCAAATTTTAAAAAGAATGAGAATAAGGACACTGTCAGGAAGAATAGACTAAGTGAAGAAGTATCTTCTTTGAAAAAATTAAAATGGACAAGCAACTAGGTAACCCAATGACGTAAAAAGGGGAAAAGGAGAAATGTACATAAAAATAGTGAAAATGAACATTACAGTAGGAAAACTAATATTAAGAACTATTTTGTGCAACTATGCAAATATCCAATAGCTAAGAAGTATAAATAGACTAGTTTTATAATGTAAATAGAAGATTACCACAGAAATATCCTATAAAGAAGCACAGGGCTAGTTGGGGTGATTCTGCCAAATCTATATTCTTGATACATAAAATCTATTGTAGAACAGTGGATTATTTTATAAAGCAAATACAGCATTGGTCCTTGTCCTAGTTAGCATTAACTGTCAAGTTGACACAGCCTAGCATCATCTGAGAAGGGAGTCTCATTTGAAGGTTTGCCTTGATCAGACTGGACTGTGGGCATATCTGTGGGGGAATGTCTAGCTTGCTAATTGATGTGGGGAGGGACCAGCCCACTGTGGGCAGTGCCACTCCCTGGGCAGATGGGTCTGGGCTGTTTAAGAAAGTTAGCTGAGAGAGAGTCAACAAGCAGTGTTCTTCCATGGTTTCTGCTTCAAGTTCCTGCTTGAGTTTCTGTCCTGACTTCCCTCAATGATGGACTGTGATTATTCTGTAATTAATCTGTGAGTTGAAATAAACCCTGTCACAGGTCACAGCAACAGAATGAAACTAGAACACACACACAGAGAGAGACAGACAGACAAACAGAGACAGAGAGAGAGACAGAGAAAGAGTCTTCCCATAGCCCCAGTTGGCCTGG